CTGAGAGCAGCCGTGAGCTCTGGCTGGTGGAGCTTGGGCCAGTCGCCCTGAGAATGCCCTGAGCCTCAAGTGTCACCCCCCCACCCTGGGGCGACAGCCGCCTGTGTTGTGGGGGGTCTGAACTGGAGGCTCTGTGGGGGGCGGGGGGACAGCGTGAGGTCTGTGGTGCCCAGCATGGGGGCCGTGGGGGGCACACTGCAGTCAGAGCAGACCTGGTCACACCTCAGGCAGGGTAGCTCACCAACGGGCAGACTGGGCTCCGGGCAGGCTCTGCCCCCACTGCCACGGGGCCAAGAGCCCAGCTCCTCAGAGTGCCCTCCCTTGCCCAGCCTCTGCAGGGCTCTGCCTGGGAGTCCTGGGCACTCGGTCTGCAAAGGGAAACTGAGTGCCCAGTGTTGGCAGGGCCTTCTCTAGGCCTTGGGGATAGACCTCCCTGCAGTCCAGTCCCCACTCACACCAGGAGCTGCAGGCCGGATGTGCCGCAGACAATGGTCCTGTGGCCTCTGGAGGGAAGGCAGTCCCGGGGCCCCTGCCCGGCTGGCCTGTGGTCCAGGAAGGGCTTCCAGGAGGAGGTGGGCAGAGCCAGGGTGCAGTGACCTCAGGATGCTCCATGCCGCTCGATGCGGCAGGAGGGCAGTGTGTGGGGAGACGGGCAGGTAGGCATGGGAAGGGTGGGGGCAGGACCTCCAGCCAGGCGAGGCAGCACATTTCCTAGCTGCTGGTGCAGGCCAGGCGGCACGCCCACCCGAGTGGAACTCGGCGGCTGGAACCTCCGGGAAGCCCCTTCCTCCCGGGCCTCAGCACCCTTGTGAACGCATCTGAGTTCCCGTTCCCACCTCTGTGGGTGGCGGTGCACGCCGACACTGCCCCGGAGGCTAGGGGTCCCCGGACACTATTGGCCCCCAGGATGCTTCTCCAGGCCACATCTCGGGTTTTAGGGGTCACGTGTTCATTTCCATGCACCCTCTGGAAAACATTACAGGGACCTAACATCTCTCGGTGCGACTGCTGGGCGGGGCTTGGGGAACGAGGCCCTCTGTCTGTGTTGCCCTGGGCCCTGCAGGGGCCGCGGCAGAATCCCCTCCCGCAGGCTGAGTGTGAGCTTGGGACACCCAGGCCACCTCCTGCTCCGCCTGTTTGTCCTCGTGGGGCTGAGGGTGGGACGTATCCGGACACCCTTTCAGGCCAGGGCAAGGGGACCCCTGTTCCCGGGCAGACACTCTTGTCCCCATCCCAGCGAGACAACAGGAGCCCAGGGGTGCCAGTCCAAGGGCACTGAGCCCCCTCCCCAGGAGTGCCGACCACCCTGGGGTTTCCACACTGGCTGACCCCTGCATTCTGCACGAGGCGCTGCCTGTGGAGGCAGGACTGCTGGTCCCTATTCTCTGCCCCTCCCGCTCATCAGCCGAGGGTCAACCCCCCCAAGCTCCTTCCAACGCCCACCTCTCCTCAAGCACATGCGGATCTGCCGGGCCCCAGGGGTCGCTGAGACGCCCAGGCGTCAGGCCCTCACTGCTCCCTCCCTCTCTACCCTGCCCCCCCCAGCACAAGCAGAATTTCACCTTCCAGACGGAGTCCAACGTGGCCCAGGAGGAGGAGACGTTCCGGGGCCCCAAGTACATCTTCCACAGCTTCATGGAGCGGCTCTGGGCCTACCTCACCATCCAGCAACTGCTGGAGGACCTGTGAGTGACCGGCTTGGTGGTGCAGGGACAGGCACTGACCGGCGTGGGCCATCCCCTAGGCTTGGAGAGGAGGCTCCATATTCTTCCAGGGGACGCTCCCCGGGGGGGTCCAGAAGGGAGGGAGGTGGTCACTCAGACACCAAGAGCCTGCTGACTGACCCCGACACCCCGGCCGGCAGAGTTTCTGCATCCGATGCTGAGCGGCCAGCCCTGGAGCAGAAGGCTCTGAACTTGTCCCTGCACTACAGCTTTGTCACACCGCTCACCTCCATGGTGGTCACCAAGCCCGAAGGCCAGGAACAGTCCCAGGTGGCTGAGAAGCCCAAGGAAGATGGTAGGTCTGGATCTCGGCTGCCCAGCCTCCCTGGCACCTGTCCTGCTATTCCCGAGGCCCCGCCCACCATCACAGTCTCCCAGGAAGTGGCAGAGCCCCCAGGAGACTCGTCCCATCTCCCTGCTGGGGAAACAGGCTGGGCCTCGGCTTGGCGTTCACCACCATGTGGGTTCTGGGGTTGGGAGTTCTCATGCCGACTCAGGGCGGCCCGGAGGACAGGGGAGGGCTGCCACCGAGTCCCCGCGGCTCTCTGCAGGAGCAGAAAACCCATCTTTCACCTGCAGAGGGACCAGTGGTTCTTATCAAACACGTACTTGCAATTGATGCAAATCGTCCCAACAATGTTTGTGGGTTTTTTGTTTCTCTCTCTCTCTGTTTTCCCCAGAAGACAACAGACACATGCATCATTTCTATTCAAGACTACATCTGGTCCCAGGATCCGCCTTAGGTAGCCCAGGGGACAGGCCCCTTGCCCACGACCCAGCGCTCTGGCCCTATAGGGCCCGGTTCGTGAAGAGCCTCCCCCTGCGGCTGCCCTGCAGGAAGGACATCACCTTGCCCAAGTTACTGCTGTCTCCACTCACCTGCTTGTTCACATTGTGGCTGGCACTCACCTGTCTGAGGCCCTGTCCCAGACACACACCAGGGACACAGTCCCTGTTCAGCCCGGGTCCCGGGAAAGGAGACCCAAGAAGCAAACCCGGGGTCTTTGATTTCCAGGTGCCGGACCGGGCCAGGCCCAGAGAGGAGGAAGCAGATTTAGAGTGAAAGGTGGAGCCTGGAAGGAAAGCGT